ATTGATGAGTCGCTAGTCATGTGAATAGACAACATTAATGAGTTTATTGCTGCCTGATAGAATGGCGCTGTCGATCTGTCGACTTTATTTTAACTACCGACGGTGAAGGCTTCGATCGTCACGGTCTGTCTTGTCTTGGCGGTGCAAGTGCTGCTGGTGGATAGATTCAGGGATGAGACGATCGTGATCGCTTTGACGTGCTCGTGAGGAGATGCAGGGAGGGATGTAAGATTACTGCGACGATCGAAATGCTGGTGAGAGTGGAGTTTGGTGGTGATTTACCCTGTACCAGGCTGAGATAGAGCCACCAATGGCAAGGAGGGAGGATACTTGTTGCAACGCATTACTTTGGCTTTCTGTTGATAAATTATGTTATTGGAGATAAATTATACGCATGGGACGGTATGCTAAGATAAGGAGTTAAGGTTAAGTTTGGTTAAAGTGATATGTTGTGTTGTGTTAACGTGAAGAACTTAGTTCACATGACGAGGCTGACAGTCTTCTCGAGCTTCATGTATATCGTAGAATTTATCTAAATGGTGAATTATACTCGAATAAGAATGAGAGATGAGAGATCACGACTAAGTTTTCGTGTGAATTGCATTCATTTTGACGAAAGACCCTTCTAATTTCCCTTGTAGAACCAAGTTTACCAAGTTACAGAAGGACTATCCAGAAGTATATATCGCTCAAGATACTCAGTCTATCCAGGTACACGAAGAGGTCTCTATTAGAGAAGAAGTGTGTTGTTCTTGTTGTGTTATCCAGATCTCTATTGTCGAGATATCGATGGGATTTACACAACTTTAATAAGTTTAAAGTACATCCCCGTTTAACCATCAAACAAGACTCAGGAAGGAGCCATAAAGGCATTCATATATATGACTCACAAGCACGAAGATCTGAAGACGAAACCAAAGCAAACATTTATACAACAATGAATATTTTCTTTTTACCGTAACAAAAAAGCATAGAAGTGATTGAAAGCATGACAATGCCTCTAGAAACGAGTCTTCACTATTGAGACTTGGCATGGCTCTGTCGTGAGCGGTCGGGATATACCTGACGAGGGAAAGACACTCGATCATACAGAGCCACATGTTGCATATACAAACATAAATACCAAGTAAATCGAAGACTTTCACACAGAAGATCACGATTGTTAGCATTAAAAAGCAAATGGGATAAGTTTGTACAAACATGACAACGACCTTTGAGGAGGAGTGCTAAATTGACTACCCTGCAGACACCCCGGGATGCCGTCAGATCATGTAACTCGACGAGAACGAGACAGCACGACCCTCTTACAACATTTGAAGCATCCAGAGGAGGTTGATCAGTCTATCTAAGATCAACAAGCATAAAGACTTCGCTGCTGGGCACTGGTTTTATATCATGTAGACTAAGATAACGAGGGCTTTACTGCGAGGAGGCATGCTGCTATATAACAGGAAAAGGAGACCAAAAGCTTCAGAATATCTATTGGCCGCGTCGTTATGAAATGGTTGTGATGGAACATTCACCACGGAAGAATAATGGCAGCAAGCAACCACTGCAGAAGCAAGCGACACCTTGTGTCCAGACATAACCATATGTATACCACATTAAGAAAGGAAATAACTGTGAAAGGACATTATCAATATGGCAAGCCTCTAAAACACATGGCTGAAACTTGGGTGCACCGTGGGATCTCCCGGCGACTAAGATGACCTGATCGAATTCACGGGCATGACTTCACAAAGCACAAGTATTTAGTGGAACATCATAACTTTTCATTTGTAGCCAACATAGCTACGTGGCTTTAAGACCCTCATTAACAAACAAAAACACATCTGGTCGTCAATGCGCCTGCACGAAGCCGTCCATCACGACTGTTTGCCCGCCAACTCACGCAAGAAACCCGTCTTCCGAAGCCAAGCCCTTGTATAGACCTTGGAACCATGTTGCCAACAACGCCACCTTCTTCGCTGCTTAAAGCAACCAGGGAAATCAACAATAAAACAACAAATATACTCCCATTTCCATGCCTGGGTATCATCATATAAACTTGTGCGTCCTCCTGGAAAGAAATCCCTAGTTATTCGTTGGATCAGGGAATGTGAAGCCAGCGGGAAAGTTGGGCATGCCGTTGGGCAGTGTGCCAAGACCAAAGGGGAAGGAAGCAACCATGTTCTGTCCATCCTGAGGAAGGTCGCGGTGATCGTCCCGACGATGGTGGCCGTTGGAGCCGTTGTCTCGACTTCGGCGCCAACGGGAGAGGTCCTCATCCCGATTGCGAGTTGACTTGGGTCCGTTGCTACCGCCCTTGTCCGTTTGCATGCGTCGGCTGATGGCCTTGGATGAGACTCCAGCTCCGATCTCGATATCGGGCTCCTCCACTGACAGGCCAGTCTCGATGGGTTGTCCACCGCTGCCGCCATAGGGGGCGGTCAACATCCACTTGCGATCAGCTTCCGTCAACTTATGGATAGGAATAATGCTGACACCCGTTGAATAGTCGCTGCAGTCCCGAGGGCCGAAACCAACACCCCAACGAGTCTGACAAAGTTAGCTCGAGTCACAGTACCAAATGCAGACTACAGTTACTTACACGAAGCGGCACTTCTAGATTGCGGGAGTCCTCGGTACCTTGCTTGGCGTTGACAGCGTCCTGTCGGGTAAGCATCTTCACGAAAGCATGTCGCTTGTCCTTGTTAACAATGCATGTTTGCACTGTACCGAAGCGGCCAAAAATGCCGCGCAATTCACTCTCAGAGCAGCTGTTTCTTGGTTAGTTAATGAGATACGAATACAGATTAGGATACACCTACGTTACTCCACCAACAAACAATGTTCGGCTGAAGACCTTGATGTGTCCGGATGGAAGAGTTGGATCGTACTCGACCCATTTATCGGCTGGGCCTTGCTCATGAAGCGGGGTCTCACTTCGTCCACGGTGTCCATGAGGGCTACGCTGGCGATAATCACCTCCACGGCGGTCATCATGGCGGCCACGGTTAGGAGAGTCACGGGCATAGTCTAGGCGATCACGTCCATTTCGAGGAGAGCCACGACCACTCCAGCCACGATCAGGAGATCGCGAACGAGAACGTCCATGGAATCTAGGAGGAGATCTTGTATGGCCGTAGCCTGGCATACGTGAATCGTCTGGCTTGCCTGAAGGACCACCCCATGCAGGTTGACCGGGAATCTGAGAGTTCTGTGCATAAGGGGCAGGCTGCTGAGCTGGGGGAGCGCCAGCTGCAGCCGCGGCTCCTGCACCACCCATACTTTGAATGAGAGCAGGAATCTTATCAAATGGAATACCTTGGTCAGCGAGCGCCTTAATCAGCATGATTTGCTGCTGAGTGTTTGGATCAAGCCCAAGGCCAGGGGCTGCGGCACCAGGTGCTGCACCAGGCATGCCCCCGTTGATCGGGTTAGGTGGGTTACTTGGGTTGTTCAGAGGAGAGCCTGCATATCCATTCTGCGCCCCCATATGTGGGAGGCCGAAGGGAAGAGACGGCACATTTACAGGTTGCGACGCCGGAGGATACGATACAGGCGGCGTAGCAGATGATACTGATTGAGGTGGCGCGGCAGCAGGCAGGTTATACGGTGCTGTGGGAGCCAGTAAGGGGTTGGCAGGGGGAGCGGTCGTGTTTTGACGAGCGATGTTAGCCAAAGCCTCAAGAATAGATGTGCCGCTAGGAGCCGGAGGAGCTGAAGTCGTAGCGGGAGCTGAAGCGCTGCCTTGCTGCGAGCCTAGCACATTGGGAGGCGGGCTACCGGGAGGAGTTGTCGAATCGTCTGTAACATCACATGGGTTAGACTACAAGTTGATTCGAGGCAATAAAGCAGTACCGCTTAGGCATATGATGCCAGGCGTGATACTGCTTGCGTAATAAACGTACTCTGTGGTGGTGCGTTGAGCTTCTCTCTAAAAGACTCAAGCATTGGTGTAGGGAACGTCTGGCCCTTCTCCCAGATATCAAGGAGCTTCTTAATTTTTTCCTACACGGTGGACTATGTGTGAGTTACGATCCAATAAATAGTACGGAGGTCAAATATGTCAAGAAGTGAGAGGGTCGTCAACAGAGGCGCCTTGCAAGATGCTCCGGTATGCGCGGCACGTGGCAGTGACTGGTTGCCAGCTACATGAGGGTGATAGTCAGATAGTCAGATATGCGTACCTTTTGTTCTTCCGGGGCGGACTGCAGGATGTCATTCATCAAAACAGGCATGAGTTCTGTCACTCGGTTGACGCCAGCGGCATAGGTTCCATCCGGGGCAGAGCTGTTAATTGCCTGTGCCTGTGCCTTGGCTTGCTCGAGCCATTTCCGGGTTACAGAGTCTACGACGTAGAGTACCCCCAACTTGTGTGTGCCTGGTGTCTTTTTGAAGTGTGTGAAGATTTTCTGGATGAGGACGGATTCGGCCTGTTGAGGCAAAACAGTTAGCGATTGTTTGGCGTTGCAACAAATGGAGATGCTTGGTTGAACCTTACCTGAATGTTGGAAACGCAAAGAGAGGTCAAACTGGTGATGCGGGATCCGGATACACCTGGCGGCTTCAAGTTGAGCATAGCCTGGAGACCAGTCTCCAAATCCGCGACTGCGGACGCCATGATGACTTGATTTGATCTGAAGTGATTGTAATGTGTGTGGTGCTTGTCTGGTAGACTGGAGTAGTCGGCGAGCTACGCAAGATGCCTCAAAATGTGATGCACTCCAGATATGATCCGACAGCGATATAGCCAGAGGTGGGTGACGCCACTTGAAATAAAATGCCTGCAGCACGAGATAGAAGCGAAGCAAAGCGAAGAGATGCAGAAGAAGATATTTCTGTCTGAATCTAAATTTCTTTGTCGCGTTATTCAGGTACGAAAAAGCTTAAGCGGGTCCTTCCTTCCTTCCTTAGGTGGGCAGGTAGAGATTTTTTTTCTTTTACGCAGTCGCGACTGGCGAGATAAGTAGTAGTAAGTAATACGAGAGCAGTCCCAGTTAATGTAAGATAAGGTGATGTATCAGCTGGAAATATGCGGCGCAAATACAAAAAGAGAAGGCAGGCCTCAGGAGTACGGGTACGACTTGTGCGAGAGAAAGCTCTTCTACTGTTTGCGTCAGGAGCGCGACGAGTCACGAGATTGTGCAGCGGGCGATAAAGCCAACAGAAACCGTCAGGCGAGGAAAAAGCTGTCAGTACTAGAGACAAGGTCGGAAAATAACTGCACTGGCGTTGTTTGCGGGTTCGCCTCGATGGGCGTTGTCGTCAAGAGTGATGCTGCTCTTTTCTTGGTTCGTGAGGTGATGATGGATGAAGTAGGAGAAGAAAAGCTGAGGCGAATGAGCGTGACAGGTGGGGCAGCCTTTTTAAGTGTCGCAGTTTGGTTCCAGGTCACTCAAATCATTATTCCGGGCTTGGGTTTTGACAGTTTATCCGGTGCCAACCCAGAAGAGGAAAGCCTCTGAACCTCAACCAACATCACAGCCATTTAGTTGCTGCCTCGTCAGACTTGTGCTGCAATGTTCCAAGCATTCAATACATTAAATGGAATAAGGTAAGGTACCTAGTTCTCTTTTGTAACCGAATTCTGTTTCCCGAGTATGGCTATTTCATTGTTATTGAGATACTGCTCCACAGTACTTTATTGTATAAGGTACTCGATGGGACAAAGCAGTGGAATCGACCATACCCGAGCCATAACCATGTACCTTTGACTTATTCCTAGGTCATCCTCTTGGTTTCCGACACCTGATTTGGTTCTATGTTCCTCTTCTTCATACGGTAAGTTTTGCAGTGTGACGCCAGCCCAATTTTCCCCAGTAGACAAAGTTTTGACCATGAACATTTGCAAGAGGCGATCAACCTATCACAGGAACCCAGCACTCTGTCAGGGTATTAATTGAAAATTCCAATATATATAAATGTATCAACTGGCATTTCATTTTGTTGATGAAGCAGGTAGATACAAAAATGAATGCACATATATCTGCTACCCTGCTGGGTTACTGAATCCGAAGGGAGTCTGGCAAATCAAGTAGCGCCTGGTCTATAACAGAGTCAATTTTCCAAAAGAAGGTCATACAATGGAACCCAACATTGCGAAGTGATGTATTTGAAGCTAGAGAATCAGAAGCACTTTCGTGGTGTAGGTTGGCACTATATACATGATGGGTGTCCTTGTTTATGTGGAATTGCAATAGATTAGCAGTGTCAACTAATGCCTGCATCCTAATCTGGACTGGAATCAAGTGTAGTTACCTATTGGCAAATCTTAGATTTATATAGACATTTGCAATGGGTTTACACAGCCAGGTACTTATTGAACGATTTACATTTCCGTGTTGAATCCGTATGAAGCTTTTAGTGATAGTGGAGTGCATGATACCCTAGATAAGATCACAGACAATCTAAAAGGAAAGCAATTCCGTAAACGCGCGATTTCTTGTTGAGCTTATGTAGTCTGTACGTAAGACTCGATAAAAGGCATGCACTTTGGCCTAGACACTGCGGTAATGAGCAACGTATCTTAGTATCAAGGATGCTGCAGGCGCCTAGACCATGAAGCGGTACGTGAAACAGATGGTTAATAATTAATAATAGATTGTCGAGGGATCCACGATACACCGTGATTATTGAACAAAGGTATGACAAGAAACGCCAAGTTGCTGAAAGCCATTAGATGGTGCTGGGAGACAACATCACAAGACAGAATAGCCGATGTTGGTGGTTTTGAAACAACCGAGGCGGCCGGGTGATCGGAAATACCTTATCGAGTCGAGCGCTTGATTTAAACAGGTTTCGCGATCAGATGTGATTATCTCTTTGGAGAACGGCAACTATGAATTAGCTGTCCGGATGCTCCGTAGAGACCTTCTACTGGCCGGATAGAAGGGTAGGTCGGCAGTCCGAAGCCCTGAGGCGTTGGCTCGGAGGCCCGGCGATGGATCACGGTAGTTCCGGGTCGTCTTGTCCTCGTGTTTAATTCTAGGTCCGACGAACCCATCTTGGTTCTGACGTCAAATCACGGCTACGTCGATAATGGCCAGCATGACCGAGGTCCCACGAGCAATGAACCAAACAAACGTGTTGATTGTGATGGTATCTCCACTTGTTCTTTCACAGGGGCTCGTTTTGGTGGACCCAAGAGCATTTCCATCATGGAGACAATATTCGGAGGGTACACCAGTTCCGAAAGTTGTCATGATGAGAGAAAAATTCGACGTTGAAGGTAAACAACAGGGGTAGAGCCTGGCTGGGCAGATCTTGAATGCACCCCTATGGATTGCCTTTATTTCCACGCTCCCGCACATTGCCAAACATCAATCAACGCTGAGAAAACACACAGACAACATTGAATAAGTGTGTATCTGGTGCCGAGAAGCAGCCGCAAGCCCTCCCTGCCTCCCTCATCCTGTTTTGTTTGTCCTCACAAGCCAAGCCAACGCAACCCCCAGACCCAAGACACAAGCCTAGACTATCACTAGCTGTTGGGGTTCCATCCTGCCTCGGGGAGGCAAGAAAACTTAAGACTTCTATCCTGAGCGACAAAAAGACTTGGGTAAATTTCCTCTTGAAATAGTGGGACCTTGAGACTAGTTATTTTGGCATTTTGACTTAAGGTCCAAAGTTTTCTTGCTCCCTAAGGCCTGCATCTCGGCCATTTGGGGGAGGGCTTGGAGTGCGTCGAATTGGAGCTTGAGAAGGCGGGAGAGGGACAAGGATTAGGGCCAAAATTTTGGGGCTTGCAGATGCAGGTTGAGGGGGCCCGCGGTAAATGTTCCTCTAGAGTCGTAGCTCAGTCACTTTTTTTTCTGCCTGTGCAACCTCATCAAAATAAGAGGACAGCATGGCACTTGGATTATAGAGGGGACATGTAGTTCCGGTGAGGCACTATTATGGATAGTGATCGGTCAGCTGGCAGCGATACATACCTGCACTGTTTAAATAGAGCATAACCGAGGAATTAACAGATACCACCCAACTGGCAGTTGATGACGGAATACGGCTGGGTATGGTCAAAAAAGAGGGTGCTGTGCTGTGCTCTACTGTAGCGAGCTCTGATGTAATCGAGGATAGATTAGATTGAACTTGACGGGCTGAAGTCAATTCTCCAACACACAAAAATGACGATTTCAATGACAGCTATCAACCTAATGAAACGCTGAAGCTCTCCAACCCCGCAAAGATACCTATGCTCTACCTCTAACAGACAGATATCGACTTCATGATGCCCAGAACTGAAACCCCAGTAAGAAAAGCAAAACCAAAAAGCGTTGTCCCCAGAAACGTCACCCCTGGTAATCGGCGGAAAAAAAAAAAAAACTGGCTGAGGCTGTCCATCCAACCCCCCTGTAAAAGTCCATCCCGTAGAGCAAAACCGGGCTGTCTGCACTGTATCCTGCCCCATAAGTCCCGCTCCGCTCGATGCTTCATGCCCCCCGTACCCCCGGTCCCCGAGGTTCAGTACTCACAGCTACGGTAGAGCCAAGGTGAGAGGACAATGTCACAGAATGAGACGGGGTAGTCTACTTTTTTTTGTGCCTCCCTCTCAAGCTTGCGCCTTTTTTTTATCGACTTGACCTCTTGGCTTACTTGAACCTCTTCCTCCCCGTTACCTAACTTAACCTACTTTTTCCTCCCCTCCACTCTATCCTATCCCTCATATACCTCTCCTCTTCCCTCCGGCATCTCCGCCTCTTGTTCCTGTTCTTGCTTTTGCACTCGTATCTTCTTCGTCTGCATAACTATCTCTCACAATGGCTTCTGTCGCCCGTCTCAGCAACGCTGCCCTGCGGGCTTCCCTCCGCTCTTCTCCTATCAATGGCTCTGTCTTCAACGCCGTTCGATGCTATTCGGCTAAGACTCAGGTATGTTAACCTCGGATAAAGCACAAGTCCAAGCTTCATGGATCCAAAGACGTCATGAATGTTGCCCATTGATACTCATGATCGTCCACACAAACCACATAAAACCATATACTAACGATTATCCTCACAGACCCTGAAGGAGCGATTCGCCGAGTTGCTGCCTGAGAAGATTGAGCAGGTCAAGGCCCTCCGAAAGTCAGTCGCATTCTCTCCCCTCGGTTCATTGTTTGCCGAGCTAGGGCCCACGCCGAGCCTCAAGCTTGCAAACCACGGCAGAATCACCGGCAGTTGAACTTTCATAACTAACATTCACATAGGGAGCATGGTTCCAAGGTCGTCGACAAGGTCACTCTTGACCAGGTCTACGGTGGTGCCCGTGGCATCAAGGCCCTCGTCTGGGAGGGTTCCGTTCTCGACTCTGAGGAGGGTATCCGATTCCGTGGCAAGACCATCCCCGAGTGCCAGGAGCTTCTCCCCAAGGCTCCCGGTGGCAGGGAGCCTCTTCCCGAGGGTGAGTTGAGTCCAGTCGCATCAATGCGCACAAAACCTCACAATATCATGAATACTGACAAAACCGCGCAGGTCTCTTCTGGCTTCTCCTGACCGGCGAGGTCCCTACTGAGCAGCAGGTCCGCGACCTCTCCGCCGAGTGGGCTGCCCGCTCCGATCTCCCCAAGTTCGTCGAGGAGCTCATCGACCACTGCCCGACCGACCTTCACCCCATGGCTCAGTTCTCGCTGGCCGTCACCGCTCTCGAGCACACCTCCAGCTTCGCCAAGGCTTACGCCAAGGGTATCAACAAGAAGGAGTACTGGGGTTACACTTTCGAGGACTCCATGGACCTCATTGCTAAGCTCCCCAACATTGCTTCTCGCATCTACCAGAACGTCTTCAAGGGCGGAAAGGTCGCTCCCATCCAGAAGGACAAGGATTACTCCTTCAACTTCGCCAACCAGCTTGGCTTCGCCGACAACGCCGACTTCGTCGAGCTCATGCGTCTCTACCTCACCATCCACACCGATCACGAGGGTGGTAACGTCTCTGCCCACACCACTCACCTTGTCGGCAGTGCTCTCAGCTCTCCTTTCCTCTCTCTGGCCGCTGGTCTCAACGGTCTCGCCGGCCCCCTCCACGGTCTTGCTAACCAGGAGGTCCTGAACTGGCTCACCGAGTTCAAGAAGTCTGTCGGTGATGATCTCAGCGACAAGGCCATCACTGACTACCTCTGGTCCACCCTCAACGCCGGCCGTGTCGTCCCCGGTTACGGACACGCTGTCCTCCGAAAGACTGACCCTCGTTACATGGCTCAGCGCGCTTTCGCCCAGGAGAAGATGCCCAACGACCCCATGTTCAAGCTCGTCTCCCAGGTCTACAAGATCGCTCCTGGTGTCCTCACCGAGCACGGCAAGACCAAGAACCCCTACCCCAACGTTGACGCCCACTCCGGTGTCCTCCTCCAGTACTACGGTCTTACTGAGGCTAACTACTACACCGTCCTCTTCGGTGTCTCTCGCGCCATTGGTGTCCTTCCCCAGCTCATCATCGACCGCGCTCTCGGTGCCCCCATTGAGCGACCCAAGTCCTTCTCCACCGACAAGTGGGCCGAGCTTGTCTCCAAGCTGTAAGGAGTCTAAAAATGGAAGGGAAAAAGGAGATGGGAGGATAATGCTCAGAAGATGGGCAAAATGGATTGCCGAGTTAATGGCATTTGTACAACACAACGGGACTGTTTTAGTTTAGTAATGAGCAAGTCGTCGCGGCGCGCCGATTGAAATGAAATGATTCAACAGTTAATCTGCAACTTTCCTCGTGTCTACGAACTGATACCATGTCATGAATTACAATTGAGTCAATTGCGTGTTGCCAGACAACATATTCACTGACGCCGTGATAGCGTCGTTATTTCGAACTTTTTTTTTGGTGGAGAATGTTGACCCCATTGAAAGTTCCTTACATTAGCCAGCCTTGCAAGCCGGGACAACTCACCAGTAGAATGCCCATGTTTCTGGTTCAAACTTTCAGGGAGACTCAAGAACTGTTGAATTCTCTTTCCCGTCTGCAGAAAACCCCTGTATCGTAAATGTGACAAGCGAATAAGACGTACGTCACGTAGTCTCGGTGAGAGATTATACCGACAAAATCCTATGTGGGATCCATCCATTTCAGGGACCCGAGCTCTCAACAGTCTAGACATTCCCTCAATCGGTTGGGTGGAGGAGGGGCGTTGAGAGCTCCAGGTCCCTCTAATTCGGCGCCACATGGGGGCGAAAATAGAGGTGAGAGCTGTGATCTTCGGGGGGTTGGCTGAGGTTATTACCGAATGGGGAAGTAAGAGAGCTGCGAAGCTGTGGGATTGACTGTTGAAGATGCATGTTTCAAGGTGTAGTGAATTGTCTGTAGTTTGTGAGTGAGAATGAGATAGGTTAGTTGTTAGTTGTTGAGGTCTAGACTTGTGAGCTTATGATAACTGTGCTCAGCAGTTGTAAGCAGTCTGGAACCTTTGGTGTGAGTGAAGATACGGAGAGCTTCAGAAGTGGGTGGGCTTGGTCAGTCTTATGAATGAAGAAGATGAATGCACAGAAGGATCTGAAAAATCATTATCACAGGCAATTCTGCTCCCGCGGGATCTCTCTGTCGGCCATTGAACCCCAGGCCATCCACCCCCGGATTCCGATTTCACATGAGAGATCCAATCCAATCCACGGGAGCTGATCTGATCTCGGTGACTTGATCTCGGCGATCCGAGACTTTCGGAGCTGGAATCGAGTCGTACAAGGAAGAGAAGTCTCCGAAGAGGGTCGATTGATTATTCGGAGAAAGGTCAGCATCATGAAAAATTACAATAGATGATATTCGACTACATCTTCTTTCTCTTTCTCTCTGTTTTCTAAGAATAGTGTTGTGGCTCTCAGCTTGTTGAATAGCGTCGTCAGCCTTATAAACGTGCCAACATGAGCAAGTACAGTAGCTTCACCCAAAATAAACGAGACACACACCGAAACACATGCAAAACATGACTGATTAACTACTCTCTAAGCTCGGGTCTTCTCGCGCATGCCTATCTCCATTTACAACTTCAACCTCGGCGATTGACCTCCGCAACCGCAGGAAAACCCCATCCATTGTTGGTATTTCCCCTCCGATAAATCGGCTACTTCTCCGGGGGGCCCCCAAGCTTATTCTGCTTAGCCTCAGCTCAGCGCTTTTGCAGCCATCCATTCAACTGTTTTAATTGGATCTGACTCAGCATTTAGGTGTGCTTCAATACCGACCGGTACGTACCGACAGTCCATCAATCCCTAGCTCTCCCGGGTACTGCTCCTTCCCCCCACGTAAACCAGTCCTAGCACAGCACACGCCTCTAGCTCTCCCTTTTCCCTTTCTTTCCCGAATTCTTGTACACTTCTTTTTCTCCTCCTTCATCAACCTCTCTCAATACTTCAACGATCCCCCCAAATTTCCCCAGCGACGAAGCACCCTAATCCCTTGGTCAGGGCCCCTTATTCTACGACACTCCCAAAGTCATGGCTGCTACTATCCGTACCGATCTTCCAGGTCCCATTGGGGACAAGAAGCTGGAGAAGAAACCCATCAAGTTCTCCAACTTGCTTCTCGGCGCTGGTCTCAACCTCTTCGAAGTGACCACCCTCGGACAGCCCCTCGAGGTCGTCAAGACCACCATGGCTGCCAACCGAGGTGACAGCATGGCTGCGGCTTTGGGACGCGTCTGGGCCCGTGGTGGTCCTCTGGGCTGTAAGTTTATAACCACAAACTCCATGCACCCCTGACTATTTACTGACTCACATGCTACAGTCTACCAAGGTCTCATTCCCTGGGCCTGGATTGAAGCTTCCAGCAAGGGCGCCGTCCTTCTCTTCGTCGCTTCCGAGGCCGAGTACTACGCCCGTGTCGCCGGTGCCTCTGAGTTTGGCGGCGGTATCCTTGGTGGTGTCACCGGTGGTGTTGCCCAGGCTTACGCCACCATGGGTTTCTGCACCTGCATGAAGACAGTCGAGATCACCAAGCACAAGATGGCTGCCTCCGGTGTCAAGCCCCAGTCTACCTTCCAGACCTTTGGTGAGATCTACCGCAAGGAGGGTATCCGTGGCATCAACAAAGGTGTCAACGCTGTCGCTATCCGACAGATGACCAATTGGGGTAGCCGATTCGGTCTCAGCCGTCTCGCTGAGGGTTGGATCAAGTCTTTCACTGGCAAGAAGGAGGGCGAGAAGCTGTCCGCTGGTGAGAAGGTCATCGCTAGTGCTCTTGGTGGTGGTCTCAGCGCCTGGAACCAGCCCATTGAGGTCATCCGCGTTGAGATGCAGAGCAAGAAGGAGGATCCCAACCGTCCCAAGAAGATGACGGTCGGAAACACCTTCAAGTACATTTACGAGACCAACGGCGTCAGGGGTCTTTACCGTGGTATCGCTCCCCGTATTTCTCTTGGTATATGGCAGACTGTCTGCATGGTTGCTTTTGGCGATATGTAAGTTTCACCCGCCTTATTGAGATTCAACCGACACTAACCGCACCACTACAGGGCGAAGACTTATGTTGAGAAGCTGACCGGCGAGTCGGTCACCGCTAAGCATTAGAAGGCGTTTAGGAATCTGGTTTGAAAATATCGCTCATGGTGAGCTTGATGTATGGACTGTCTAATGTTTGGATTCGGATATCTCTGATGTAATGACACAAGCCTGTAAAAAGGTTGTGACAAAGGAGGTGCTCGCGCCTTGAAGATTATCTTTCTATGATATTTAGCTGTGCAAAGTCATGGACCCTGTGGGTTTGACTTGAATAGAGAAAACAAGTGCGCAATCTTTCATTCCTAATCACTAGTGATGACCTTTGTTTGGAGTATACGGTTCAAAAGACTGCAGATGACGCACACCATTTCAGTAAAGACACCTTACTTTTTACGAGTACTTTCGCAATTACCATGATATCTTTCTATCACGAAGCTGCCATGATATTGTTGAGCTTGAACCTATGAGCTCGGGTTGTTTCGGGTCTGAGCGTTGAGTAGTGGGGTCGTCCAGTTGAGAACGAAGCTTGCTTGTCTCACTTCTTGAACCTTACCTAAGGAAATAAAACATCTAAGTGCGGCTTGGGATTAAAATAGCCCCAAGTGTCCATATTCTTCCTAATTTCACCATCATAGGATTATAGGTCGGCATATAACGTTATTAAGGAAATTCAAAGTAGAATATGCTATTATTAGTTTATTTAAAGACTAACTACTGCATATAGGACTCTAAGATGCTGTTCTTCAATAGCTAGCACTTCCATCAAGCTTCTTCATCAGAGCTCATGGTTCTTCATATGTAAAGCCCCAATCCTCCTCAATACTTAGCAACGTAGCGACCTTGACAAGTTCTTTCACTTCACTATCTTCTAGCTGATTCACATCCAAGTCCTTGCTCGTATTTTGAGAATGGATGCTCTGAAGACCCTCATCCGGTGGTGAAGGGGTTCTAAGTCGACGCACTGAACGGCGTCTTCTGCCGAAACTAGCGGCTTCGCTATCTTTTTGTCGGCGCTCGAAATTAGCTAGGAGAGGTGCTGAGGGGTCTTCATCATAGTGGGCTTCTCGGCGGTAGAGGTTGGTGGATTGGTAGCAGGGACCTTGTACAACCCCTATAACTGGGTTTGATGTAAGCTTTAGACACTGGCTGTCTAAATATGTTCGTCTCGAATAATCAGCGATATCTGCGTCCGAAAGCTCATCATCGGTGAGCATCTCATCGTCGTCCTTCGCCGGGGTGGGTGGAGCCGGTTCCGGGTGTGGAATTAGGGGTATAGGCCGGCGCCGGCGCCGAGTGGTGCCCGGAAGTGTCATCATGTGCGATTCTGGGATATCCCGCTCATCAGTTGATAAGATGAAGCAACGGCCTGTGGCATCACCGATGGCAAGCTTGGAGTTGTCCGGTGAGAAACCACCCCAAGCGATCGGTCCAGGGGCTGTAAGAATATCACGGACAAAGGGGTTCTTGAGCTTGCGGACATTCCAGACCTTCACCACACCGTCACTCGATCCAGTGTAGAATCGATCAAGACTCGTATTCCACGCCGTGAACTTGACACCCGTGTCCTCCTTCTCGCGATCGCCGTAATACTCTTCGATAGGTTTTCCATGCCGCAACGTGTGGATGGGCTTGTCACCCTGTGCTGTATCCCATACGTAAACCTTACCATCAGTGCAAGCCGCAGTAACGTAGGCGTGTCCGGGTGAGTTAGGCACGATCGTCAGCTCGTTGATGTCAGAGGCATAGCAGTCAAGAGCCTGATGTTGACAAAATCCAATGCCATTCAAGCGATCCTTATCACGATGAAAGACGTGGACTTGTGTTCTGACATTGCGGGGAACGTTGTTCATCCCCGTAGGTGTTACCCCGACCAGGAAAAGTAGTAATATTGGATGCCAGGCGACTTCGAAGACGTTAGCCGTTGAAGCTGTCATCACAGGGATCCGAACACCCTGTTCCGCATCCCAGAGGATGATCTCTCCCGAGCTCCTCTTGTCCTCGGGAATGTCCAGATCGTCGCCTGTCAAGCTGCGAGGAGAATACCCAACAAGAAGCAAATGCTGACAGCCCTTAGCTCGTCCCCACTGCATTGTTGCTGGGAAGTATGCCCACTTGTCTGAGCCATCAGCATCGGCTCGCGAGCATGAGAACGTCTGGTAAGTACTATTCGACTTGTTTCCTTTTGTAATGGTGTAGATGCGCACGGCATCGGTTGGTGAATCTGCAGCCGTGGCCACGCGGCCAGATCCATCCTCTGCAGCAGCCACGAAGTTGACATTACCCGTGTGTTGCCATGTTGCAATGGCCTGCATGTGTTCCCCTTTCGGATCAACCTTCCATACTTTGACCGTCTTATCAAAGCTCGACGTATAAGCCAAGTCATCTTCAGCGCTGTAGTCGCATGACACGACTGATGAGTAAAGCCAGGGGTCCTGGCTCTGGCGCATGGCCTCTGTGGAATTCTCCCCCTTTTCGACCCGTGGACGAGGTATTCGGTGATCAGGGAAGGACCGCAGCGTACCCTTTCCAGTTGAACAAAGAAGCAAATTTCCAGGTCTGTTGTACTGTTGGTTATGTGTATCAGAGTGTGTAGTAGTGCCACATAGAAAGCTCTCTCTCGAGACCCATGCACCTGTGGTGATATCACCAGCGCAATTGGTGAACTCAGCTACAACCTGGAAATCGTCCTCGTGCAATCTCTTAAATTCGGTTTGGAAGTTCAGATATTCCCGTGTTCGTTGAAAGCCCTGGTTGCCTTCCATTTCTCGAGCCATCAATAAAGACGAAAGCCTGCTAGTCCTTCTCAATTGGCCTTGTCGTTTATTTGCTTCCTCCGTAACATGCTCTGCAGTAAACGAAAAGACTCGTGGTATCTCTGCGACCTTTCCTGCCCACAAGTCCGAGGCAAAAGCGCTCATATCTCGCATGGTTCGTCCGGGTATCGGTATCAGAGGGCGATTTCGTAGTCGGATCTGCTCTATCATAGATTCGCGGGTCGCCGGTATGCGCTTGTTCTCGTTTTGTGATATTTGGTCTGTAATCTCGGCGATCTCCTCAGGGCTGAAGTCCACATGGTAGACAATGGGTTGTCTGACAAGCTCATTGTTGACAGTCACCGTTCTCTTTGCTCCCTCCTCAATAGCCTTGCGATGCGCCACCGAAAGGTAGGGTCGCTCGGAAATCTGGTAATAGCGGTTATTGGGCCTCGGTTCCCTTCGCTCTCGACGTTTATAGGGCCTTCCTTCGACATTTCGAGGGAGTTCTGGTTCTTGTAGTGGCTGGGAGGTGGGCGCATCGTAAAATACGGGGTTGTCCGGGTCTTCGGACTCCCTCGTTGCTTCTGTATTTACGACCGTCGGTTGTGTTTGCACTTGCGGTCGAGGTCTCGGCGGTGACCTCGATGATGGTAGGAGCTGCGGTTCTGGTGTTTCTGAAGATAGTGGGGATATGCGAAACTCCTTGTAAATGTTAGCAAACAAGCTCCCGCTGCGGCTTCGTTACACCCACAGAACCCTCCGCAAGGCCCCTAACAACATCATGCGCCTGGATCGCAATCACGTCTAGGTCCTGCTGACTCAAGTAACCACCCGTCTCGTCCCATCTTCGCCTAAAGAACTTGTTGATACTGAGTTCCGTCACCGTCTAGACCCCTAGTTAGCCATGGAGCCTTCTATATACAGCTTTCTTTGTTACCTTGATCGCCAGGGCGTTAACATGGTAAACATCCCTCGGCAGATGTCCAACAGCCCTCTCGACAAGCGGCGTAACCTGGCTTAAGAGGCACTCCTTGACGCCTCGCTTTCTCTGTAAGCCTTTACTAACGCGTCTCCGTTTCGGAGGTGGTTCATCGCATGGGACCGGGAGGCTATTTAGTATAGGTAGAGGTGCATGTGGCACCTCGCCATGCTTGACGAGCGACCTTGTAATTGTTGTTGTTAGCCCTAAACCCATGAGGAAACGCGTCGAGGATATGAATAAAAAGGAAAAAGGGCCAAAAATATGACGTTAAACGCGTAAAGGACGTTAATCACTTACTTCATGGCCCCATTTGGCGTTGATGCGGCGATAAGGTGGGTTAGAAGCATTAGAAGGGTGCCTAGTAAGCTTAAAGAAGGGTAAACTGTTAATCCGGGCTATTATTTACAACTAGGGTTAAAATAGTTATTAAAATATTAAGTTATAAGTCTTTTAATATAAAAAGTAGCTAAATAGCTTATTTTTATTTATTTTAAGAGATTTTTTTACTTTTATTTTATTTTAAATTATAACTTTTAATAAGACTTTACTTATACTTATATTATAATATTAAAATTATAAAATAATACTCACTTAAGGCTTTATAAAGCTTTAAAGCTTAATATATAGATAAAATATTATAATAATGGAAACAGTTTTGATACAAATATTGATTTTAGACAAGATGTCTCTAGTTAAGAATAGCATAGTAGTCTAGCTATGGAGTACGCATAAAGGACGTAGGCTGTATAACACTTTCAAAAAGTCCAGTATTAGCCGGAAAACATATTCATGTAGTAACAAAGTATTAATCAATAAGTAGCTATGCATTGATAGTATACTATAATATTCATTTACAAGTTCAAGCCGCTCAACATCTCCAACATATATAGAAAATCTGGAATGCAGCTCTAACGCCAAAAATCACATCTTTGGGCTGATAATCACAACATATTTTACAGCTTGTTCTTTCCAACAGGCTCCTGGGCAGCAAGCTCCTCGTACATGCGGTCAATATGGTCCCTGTAGGCCTTGGCGGCCTGGGGGCGCTTAAGCTTAAGCCTAGTAACAACGTCAGCACATATACTCCAAAACGGACAAAATTGGGGGGAAAACTTACGTAGGGGTGAATAGACCGTTGTCGATGGTGAAAGGATCAATTTCAAGATGGGCATTGCGCACCTTCTCGAAGCTGTTGAACTTGTGCTTCTTGCCAATGCCGTCGAGGACCTTGAGGAACTTGGCTTTCACCTTGGGGTCATTAGCGGCGATGCGGAGATCAGCGACCTGGTGAGGTGCGATGGTCTCCTGGAGAATCTTGCTGGCGAAAGGAG